GGGGTGGTCAATAGTCAGCGCTTTCAGGTTTGGGAGCTTTCCGATGACAGCGTCCAATTCTAAGATGTTCGGGCAATGTTCATTGTTGATGGCACTGAGATGCAAGCACTCCAGTTGTGGACAAAGTGATGCAAATGAATCGAGGTCTGCGGCGGACTTCAACGACATACCACGTAGTGACAGCGAGTGCAGCTTTGAAAGCTTTCCCAGCGTGGCCAACTCACCAAAGTTCTCAGGAAGCACAATGCAGCCACTCTGGGAGTCGGTACACGAAAGGTCACCAGTTAGGCCTGGCACACCAATGGCACCACCAATAGTTAGGCTTGACAAATTGGGACAGGCAGAAACCAGCATCTGAGCACTATGCTCATTCCCATCTCTGACATATCCTGCGTCAAGGAGTGCTTGCTGAGTCCGAAACTGGTAGGAGAATTGTCGCAGCGACTTGAAGCTTGCTGCCATTTTCACTAACACATCGCATGGTGCTGCTGTTTTCCAGCCAGATATGTCCAGATCCGTGAACTTGTTCTCGAGTCGAGAGAACTTCTCAATGAACTCAGAATTGTACATATCGTCTGGTGACCTCATTTTGTCTACTTTTACACAAACAATCAGCTGCGTGATCTGTGGATTGTTTTTCAGGATTTCTAGAAATCGCTCTGCTTTGACATAGAGATCTTTCAGGACTAAGCGTTGAAGATATGGTAAACTGGCTGACATTAGTTCGCACTCTAGTGAAGATCTCAATAGAAAAGGTGAACAGTGGTCCGCCCTCGAGCCTGCGTTAGCTGGAGTTGTACCACACACCGCTGTGGCGAAGACAACAGAGCGCCTGGCAATCTGCAGGCTTTTCAAATTTACTGACCTGGCTTGAAGTCGGTGCAGTATCTCGTTTAAACCAGTATCTATGCAATACCATCCGACGATTGTCAGATGCAGGGACATCTTGGCTCCTAATGCCTCCAGTGTATTCATGCCCGCCTCCGTAAAATGAGATGAGTAATCGTGCTCATAATGTATCTTCCTCGCGGCAACAGTGACTCGAACATCTCGTAAATTCTCAAATTCAAGTATTGCGCCCAGGATTGTGAGATCGCTTCCCATGAGACACATGCTGAAGTCAAGCACGGCCAGGTTAGGCATAAATTTCAAACCTTTAACTACAGCCTTTGTTGAGATTCTTGGCCTTGATGTCACGAAGTTCTCTCCCATCAGCACCAACTCTTTCACGTGATTTCCACATTTGCGAGCCATATCCATGAATCTCTTTTTCATGATTCTCCCAGATCCATGGCGGAAATCGAAAGACGTTGTCTCACATACCCTACCTTTCCAGTCAGCAGCGACCCTCGCGAATTGCTGACAGACGGTTGCTAGGCGATGACTGTGATACCATCCATCCGGTAACTCACTGAATATCAGTGCCCATACTTCATCCGGTAACTTGGGCAGCGCTGGCGGGGATACCAACAGTTGCAATCCGTCTTCTCCATTGTCGGGCTGTGGACGTTCTTCATATGCCTTCTTCCTTAAGCCTGCACAACTTGCCGAGTCCTCGCGAGCGTTCTCAATGGGACCAGTCGCCGACATTCTGCAAACCTAACCGACTGCACTATCGCTGTGAACACAACAATCTGAAACACAACCTACTCTTGTTCTTGTTGGGCTCCTATTTCAAACCCAAAGGAACTAATTACTTGGGTAAACTCACACCTTGCCCTACCATGTATTCTCTCGAATGACTGAGAAATGTTCGACTGTTAGTAGTATACACGCTACGAACACGTCCATCAAGCTACAACCCGCTGGCTGTACATGCAGACCTTAATGCACGATTTTCCAGTGACAGAATTATGCTGCCGATAAAAAGTAATCACCTGCTGACTCCGAGTGCCGAGTCCCGAGTGGCAATAAAAATGGCTAGCAGAGACCGCTCCCTTGTTCAATCATCACACAGAGAAGAACGTAGGTCATAGCACTGTATCAAAGACCAGAATGATTACAAGTACGGTACAAGAACTAACTAGCTACTTCTACCATGTTTACGCAGATCGAAAGCAGCCAGAAGTGCCTTCTCTAATCGATTGTGGGGGCACGAAACGTCACCACACTGTTAATAAAGTAGTCAATAAGGCCACACTGAAAAAGGTCTGTGGTTCGACTCACCCGACCGACTGTACATTTTTCAGCCCGACCGTAACTTTTTTTTTCGGCGGGCTGTCGTGTGACTGACGTACGTGGACTGAACAAGTACTACGTGCTGTGCAGCGTGAGTCTGCGGACGCAGGCTAGGCGGCTCCTTTTGGACTTGACTTGTACACACATGTAGTTGTACTGCAGTGCAGTGCAGTGAGTGGTACGACTGCTGCCTTGTGCTGGTAGTAGAGTCCACTCAATACGACCACCGGCAGACTGGCGAGACTTACAAGGCCGCGGTCACACCAAGCGCGATTCAGCCATTCAGCGGAAAAAAGCGCTTTTTGACGTCATCGTCGCTACGGAAACGGCTGAATTTTTGGCTTCAGCCTTTTTCAGCAGTCAGCCGTTTTCAAAGCGCTGAATGGGAGCGCTGAATGGATTCAGCCACTTTCAGCCATTCTGGCGCAGTGGCGGGAAAAATAAACTCGTTCAAAGCGCATCTTGGCATGATCTTGCAGCTTGCATCGTGTTCTGCGACCTTCCGGCTTTCGTTGTTGGTTTCGTTCTTGGTGAAACTTCTCTCCTTGCCTTTTTATCGGTCATCATGGAATCCTGGACAGTAGCATTGGAGCGGAGACTACTGGAGCTTTGGTTTGAAGCAAAAACCAAGTATGAGACCACCATGAAAAAAAATACCAGAAAGAGAGCGTGGATCTTGGACGAACTGAAGAAGTGTGCTGGAGAAGGCGGACGGGAAGTGCCGCAGTGGCTGGTGGAACTGACCGACAAGAAACTGAAGAACAAGATTGAGTATTTGAAGGTACGATTCACTTGTCTTTGTCAGGTGCAAATCATGGAATAATAGTTCGTGTTCGTTTTTCATGCGCCAGTCCTGTCTCGTACTCCCCAACACCAATAATGTTTTCAAATTGTTCCCAAACTCCACAGGCCACCGGGAAAAGATTACTCCTGAAGCATGTTCGACCTCTGCTGAAGCAGAAGAAGCCTCAGACTGGATCCGCTGCCGATTCCGATGACGATGACGCCAGTCCAGCAGAGCACATTGACTGGAATCATGTTCATGATGTGAGTATCTTTGTCAATTTGAATATTTGCAAAGCTGAGAATCTAAAGTACGTTATTTCTACAAATTCAATTTACAACAGTCTGATGTGCGGTGATTGAGCATTGTAAAAGGAAGATGACAGAAGAACAAAATCTTTCTGAATATACTGGAAGAATGTCTGGGTGCGCGTTCATAGAAATAGTGTGCAAATGTATCATACATTCTTTCTCACGGCAACTCTATTTGTTGTCTACTTCGATATTTTACAGGTTGCAAAGTGGCCCCATCTTCAGCTCTTCTATGAGCTGTTTGCTGACCACCCGACTCTGGGATTCAGTTTTTCCGTAGACACTAGTCCGGAGTCGTCTGCAGTTGTCGTGGAGGTGGCAGCGACACAAGTGCCATTGGAATCTGCATTGGCAGCGACAGCAGTAACACCACCTGTAGTGGCTACTGCCACTGCCACAGCAGTCATCCAGCCAGGGGTTTCAGCCGCGAGTGCAGCATCTCTGGTTGACGACTGGATCTCGTCATCAGAGAGTGACAGTGACGACATCCAAGTAGGCGCCAAGCGCCCACCAACGCCAGCAACGCCAATTGGTCGTCCGGCAGCAAAACGGGCATTCAAGACACCAGACGAGGCTGCAGCAAGTAGCAGCCACAGTGCAGCTAGGGGTGCAAGTGCCAAGGCGAGGCAAGGGTCTGCTATGGACACGTTCCTGGACATCTATGCCAGTACGTCGAAAGCCAAGATGGAGGATGCTAACATGCGTGCCGAGAGGACAATCCAGCACGACAGGGAGATGGCAGAGCGCTCGGAGAAGCACTCCACCATGCTCCAAACGCAGCTTGTCGACACTACTGCCAAGTTGGAGGAGAACCAACAAACCTTCCTCACAAACAATTTGAAGGCCATCATGTCCTTCCAGGCGGAGCTGATCGAGGGTGTCCTTGAGAAGTAGATATTTCAGTACATTGTATATTATGTCTGAGACAGTCCGTCTTTCTGTTTGAAGCCTTCGCTTATCAGTTTGTACATATTATTAATTATTTTCTTTCCCTGTATACAGTAGCTGTTATTGGCACCTGCTACTAACGTGCCCTCTAGCCCATTGCAGCAAAGATCACCGGCGTAAATCCATGTCCATATTTTTTAGCACAAGTCAGGTCAGTCACGACCAGCAAAGGCTTGTTTGCAGAATAATTTTAATAACCATGTTGACAATATCGTAACACCACCGTGCTTCTCGCAAAGCCTTTCACACACACTGTCGGTATGAGTGTGTGCACGGTGTTCATCATAATGTACCTCGAAGTACAAATATGTTGTGTGAGTTCCTGTGATGCATGCAAGAGACAGAGGCAGTCTTCAAAACGTAACCTGAGCTGCAAAACATCTACAGTCCATACAGCTAGGAAACAAATTACAACTGAACAGTCACAATGCGAATGTGGAAAAAGAGACGATGATGCACAGTGCAGACTACAGCATACAGGAGAAACGTGATGCATGTATTGGCCCAGACTGCGTATGTAGGCGAGATTTGCATGTAGCGCCATAGATCAAGGCAGAAATTGAGACTGCAAAACATTTTAATTGAGTAAACCGACACGTCACTTGCACACAGCTAGATTTACGCAGCAAAAGTAATGGTAGCACTAGCAGAAGATTATAGCACACAGCAGTGCACGCTACAGTAGCTACACACTACGCCACGCTACACATCGTATATACAGCACTCCTCAAGTCAGATTGGCAAAAGACAAAACAGTTGTATTGAAACTCAGATTTCCTTCAGATAGGCCGACGGGTATGCACATGCCGTGCCAATTTCTCGCGTACAACAGAACCGGTGGCATTGGTTTCCAAAACAAACCGGTCATTTGGACCTGGTCCGTATTCTTGTGGGTCACAGCACCAGCTCTCACCTTCCGTTGACGCAAAGGTTTCACAGAAGTTGTGCAGTGCACAGCATACCAGAGCAACATCAGCAGCAAATATCGGGTCCCGGAGCTTTGACGAGTCCAAAATTGCGAAGCGGCCTTTCAGACGCCCAAACGCTTGCTCCACTACTCTCCTCGTTCTTATCAGCCGATAATTGAAGGTGCGCTGGTAGGGCTCAAGCGCCTGGTTGTCAGAGAAACACTTCATCATTGTCGGAGCCAATGGAAATGCAGCATCGCCGACAAGGTACGGGCGTATGTACGTACCATTCAGGACATTCCTATTCTCTTCACGCTCAAGGATTGTGAGCCATGTCTTGTCATTGATTTTCTGCTCCAATCCACTAGCGTGGAAAGTTGCGGCATCTCCCATCGAGCCCGCTCGTCCTGCATCAATGTAAGTAAATTGTCCGCTCGCATCAACCACCGCCAATATCAAAATAGAAGAATACTTCTGGTAGCAATAATACGCATCACCATACTTCACTGGTTTTCTTTTTAGTCCATCGGCCAAGTCTCAAAATCGAAAGTGGTGATGCACTGAGCTTCCAACTAAACGCGACCATACCCAGCACGTAGAGAATATATCAGAGAACACTATTCCGTTTGTTGGACGTGCCGAATTCAGTCCAGGGCGTCGATACGAAGCGTTCTTCGTCGCCGAGTTTTTTACTGTGCGCTCCATTTGAGAGTGCGCAGAGTTCTGATCGAGAGTTTTTTGAGCAGATTTTCAAATTTTTGAGGCTGTCAGCTGACAACTGTCAACCCTAAATGGCACTTAGTATGTGACAGGCAATAGGTTTTGGTGCCTCCGTATGCCTTCTAATAAGTTCTATCTTCCTTCGTTTCACTTCGCTGCTTCGCCCACCACCTCAGGAGATGACAGCGTACCTGCACTAGTCAGCTCTCGCTAACCCTGTCTCTCTTTCTCCGTCTTAGCGCTCGTCATTCGTGTCCTTCTGCTGGGGCGAGCTTGATACTGTTGTGTCGTAGTTTTTAGGCAATAGTGGCTGTTGTTCGCGTGACGATCAGGATTTATGGAGAAAGACGACGACTCGCCAAGTTCCCATGCAGCCACAGACGGCGTAGCAATTCTTACCGCCAACCCTTCGAGCAACGGAACCGGCCTGAGTTGGAAATCGTGTCTGTGTAATTGTGCCACGATACGGATGAAACACACAGGCTCACATGTGACGAGATGAAGATAATCTCAACAGGCTGATGGAAATCCAACAGGCTCACGGGAACGCTGCAGTTATGGTCGGAGACGCGGAGTTATTTAGTCACTGGTAAATGTTGCATCGAGTGCTGTGTGCTCTAACACAATTGTAAAAATCATGAAAAAGCGAAAATAATGCAATGGTGGGGCTGAGTGGTGTTCTGTGGAGGAGACGTCGCTGTCTCAGTATTCAACGCTGGACCCTGTATTTCAAGTCTGTGGTCATGCTCGATCATAAGTTCCTGTATGGCTCCAGTGCCTTCTCAGCATTGTTGGCGGGTAAGCACCTGGATCGTCTCCAAGTACTGCGGCTCTGGTGGCTTGAGGGATGTACGGGTGCTCGCCGTGCACCCCTGCCGGCAATCTGCTAGTGAAGCTTGGTACCTACTGTGTCCGGGAGATTTTTATCCAGAAGCTGATCTTCCTAGGCTGGAGCTGCTGCTACTCCTGTGCTAGCCCTCAACCACTGGCGCTCCTACTCGGCTCCAGTGTGGGCCATTAACCACCCTGCCCGATTTCGCACTGTTGCTATTCCACACCGTCAGCATTCAACTCTGAGGTCAGACCTTGATCCCTCCCACCATATGCTATCTGTCTGTCTGCCTCTCTCTCACACACAGATGTGCACGCATACACACAAACACACATGCACACACACACACACACATGCACACACAGTGACACAAACATACACATACCCAACTTCTCTGTGTTTGGTGATCATCATCTGTTTTCTGATGTGCCAGCTCACCTCTGATGCCGATTACTTCCTTGCTTAGACCCGGTCTGCTATTAGACCAGTCTGCTCTCCCTTCACTCGCTTGTAAATCCTACTTGGAGCAGTAAGGTTGTGTCACTGCTCCTACTGATGTCATTGTTGTGAAAGCAATATCATCGCCATTGGTGGTAATTTTCCACCGTGCATGAATCATTAACAATCATCATCTATGTGTCACGGCCTAACCATCCTCGTAACTCCCCTCATCGTGACTAGTGCTGTTCCGTTGAAACCTACTTTGCTTCAGTGTATATTCGCCCCGGGCAAAGCTCTTGTTTTGTTGCGTAGTGATCTGACGCAGTGTGCTATAGCCTGTCGGGTAATATGGATAAGATTAGTACAGTCGGCATCGCCTATCGAGTGACCAGGTACATGTATAAGGATACTAGTACATGTATACCGGCTTAACGATATCGGAACACAAATATCACTATGTGTGCAATATTCCTTTCTAAGCTCACGCTGTGCGGTGCAGATAGGTCATGTGTCGTTGCCAACTTGCCGCATGTGCATGTGCAGCAGGAAGGCACCACATGTCGACTACTACTTATACTGTACAGCATTGTGTGCTTACATGCATCTACGGCCTTGTGGATGCAATTGAGTCTCACATACATGTACATGAAATATTGCGTGTAGTGCGGCATCAGGTGTTAACATACAGTGGCTAAATATTTTTCTCGCAATAATGACCGTATTCACCACAAGTGTGTTTATGTCCAGAGCCAACTCAAGTCCTGTATTATTTATGACCATGACAATAAGACTTCCGGGCTGAAATTCTTCTATGACAGGCATGAACACTTGCCTTACAATCATGAATTATTCGTGATTGTACGAAGTACATATTCGCTGTTGCATCAATTTTGCACCATTTACATTGTAGTGCCACTAGTGGTATCACCTGCATGCGTATTGAGTCAAACAAGGTTACCTCTGTATAATTATGCTTATCGTGGCTATCAAGAGCTTCGATGCAAATTCCCAGCTGACGAATGGTGTCCAGCTTGTGTTCAGCTCAGCTGGCACTCACAACTCATAATAATTGCGTTCTAGACGCCAGATGAGATGTTTCAGCTACAATGTAGACACAACGTCCGTGTTCAAGAAAGCCGTCACTTCATCTTCTGTCCATCCTCAATAGCACGTTCAAGCAAATACGTCTGAAACACAGTAGCGACAATCCGACAGCGGCGACACGCCGTCTTCTCCGAATGAGCTTCTACCGTTCTAATTCAGATTCCCCCAAAAATGTCAAAATAAATAATAGATTTCCACCAAGCTCGCTAGAATCTTGCGAACCGTCAACATGCAGGCATTTCAAGTGTTCGAGCGTGCGTTGGTTTTGCTCAGCGGCTCAAGAACATTCGCCAAGCGAAAAAAAAGTCGATGAGAAAGATGTAATGGTGGACGAAATTACGAAAATCGGAAGAAGGTATTCGACCCAGTTCGACTATCCTGGACTGGATTGGCAACGTCCAACAATCGGATTCGTATTCCATGGGGTCTCATGAGCTAGTGTGCCAAAGGGCGTTTAGTTGGAGCTTCAGTGCATCACCTTCGCCGAAAGAGGCCCTTTCTGAGATTTGGCCGATGGACTATTTGAAGTGACCGTCCGGTTGAGAGTGATTGCCTCGTTCCAGATTAAGGACGGCCTTCTGTTTTGGAATGAAGGACAGACGAGATTGCACTTTCCTCGTGTGGGAACGATATTTCACCAATACCTGTAAGTTGCTGCTCCATGTGTGCAAGCACAGGAAGCGTCGATGAAAAAAGCCCATGTATTCGTGCACGCCGACACCAAACTAGCAATACATGTACCGGTACATTGTACAATTTGTACTTCGAAGTAGTTCCCGAACTTACTTTTTATTTCTTCCACACAATGTTTCAAAGTATTAGCCAGTGATCCCTTTATACAACATGTATGGCATAACACTGCGTAATAATGCCGATGTACTGGGTGTCTGGCAGTACACTACAGTGTATTTACATGTACTAAAAATATATATTAAAAAAAAAATCCGCCCGCCCGCCCGTAAAAAAAATGTCCATGTTATAGTCGAACCACACACCTTCCTCAGTTTGGCCTAATATTATTATTTCACACCCCCGAGCGGGGCCCCCTCCCTGGCCAATCATAGACTACAATCATGTACAGTATATACATAAGTGTAGGTATGTACATGACTGTAGTAGTGTTTGAAACGAGTACACTCCACAGTTCACACGCACTATCAAGAGACGAGTAGATCTACACAGTTCACACGCACTATCAAGAGACGAGTACACTCCACAGTTCACACGCACTATCAAGAGACGAGTACACTCCACAGTCCACACGTTACACGCAGTATCAAGAGACGAGTACACTCCACAGTCCACACGTCACACGCAGTATCAAGAGACGAGTACACTCCACAGTCCACACGCAGTATCAAGAGACGAGTACACTCCACAGTTCACACGCAGTATCAAGAGACGAGTACACTCCACAGTTCACACGCAGTATCAAGAGACGAGTACAATCCACAGTTCACACGCAGTATCAAGAAACGAGTACACTCCACAGTTCACACGCAGTATCAAGAGACGAGTACAATCCACAGTTCACACGCAGTATCAAGAAACGAGTACACTCCACAGTTCACACGCAGTATCAAGAGACGAGTACAATCCACAGTTCACACGCAGTATCAAGAGACGAGTAGATATCTAGATCTACACTCCACAGTCCACACGCAGTATCAAGAGACGAGTACACTCCACAGTTCACACGCAGTATCAAGAGACGAGTACACTCCACAGTTCTGACATGTCACAAGACTGTAGGCACGGAGATGACCAATCGCATTGCACCTAGCAGGGCCTAGATGAGGCGATCAAAGCATGCTACAAGAAGTAGAACTCCATATTAGTGGAGCGGGCTTTGATTTTCCCATCAAAGCCCGCCCGGGCTTTGATTTTCCCATCAAAGCCCGCTCCACTACTGGCACTAGGGCTTTGATCAAGCTCGCTTTTTTTTTACTCGACTCGGGCTCGAGAAGGCTGAGAGTCGTGCTTTAAAGCGCGATAGGAAGATCGAAGTGCGCGTTCTTGTCACAAATCCAATCAAAACAGTCGTGTTCATGTTCTATCAGCCAATCACAGCCCTTCGCGAAGTATTTACAAGTTCGATGTATGGAATCGAGCATGAGTACGAGGACGAAAGTGCGGAATCGGAGCCCGACGCGCGCTAGCGCGGAGGGCTCCGATTCTAGCACTTGAGTCCGAGTACGAATGCTTTGATACCATTTCTGACATGCATTGCACGAACTACTTCGTACTACTAGTACTAGTAGGGAGTTCAGTCACGTGACAAATCAGCTGAAAACAG